ATGGCTTGCTTTGAGGAAGAGGCAGTCTAGTTTCTACAACTTGCTTCAGGGGGGAAAGAGGAATGGAAGACAGGAGAGTAGGAGAAGGTCAGAAAGAACTTGCGCTTTCAATCTCTTTCAGTTCAAAGTACTCAGCATACCATGGTGCCATATTTGGAATCTCATGTTCTGAGCCCAACAGTTGCAAATTGTAATTATATCCAGAAATGGTGAGTTTACTCAATGGAGACACATGCACTGTCAACCAGAAAAAGCTGAATAACCCAACCTCAAGTGGAGCACACCAGCAAGGTGTTCACTTCAGTGCCTCACTGCTCGTACACTTTAACAAACCCATTACCAACTAACTAGTTATTTCCCTACATCCACTATGCTGATTATTTTTTAAATGTTAGATTCAGGGGATCCATGTGCAGGCTTGTTGCTATTGCATAATGGTGCACAGAAGAATATGTCTGGATTCGAATGCCTCATGCATATTATGCTGGAATTCAGAGTACATTAGGAAAACACACTCACCTGAAAGATGGGGGAATATGAAGAGGAAGGAAAACAGTTGTGAGAAATGAACCTTCTAATATTTGTATATTGCATTAAGAGACATAATGATAAACTACCAGAGGATGTTCAATGTAATTTGTAAGAAAGGATTTTTGAAACAAAAGCACAACCTGCAAGGGAAAGTCTCGAATTTAAATAATTAACTTTCTCAGCAAAATCTAGTAATATTATAGGGAAAGGAAAAGCATTCCAAAGTTCTCTTCCCTGGGGAGGATAGGAGAAAAAGAAACAGATAGGAAGGAAATTGAAGTATTCTAAGAGTCTTATTTTAATAGTTGGAATGATGAAATGGGAAATTCTTGGTTAGAGAAATAGTTGTTACTGTGTCATTAAACATTAGTAGAGAGGTATGTACCTGATTCTGAATTAAGGGACAAGAAAATAATCCTCAGTGAATGTGAATTAGAGTAGAACTTCCAAGCTATCAAGGGAAAATGAAATTACTGGCAACTTTATCAAAGCAACAGCTTAATAATATGTTTATTATTTATTTTATGTAATAAATACAGTGTGTAAAATAAATAATAAACATAAAGTAAGATGGGGAGATATCCTTTGTGCTTGTTAAGGAAGATTTACTATCAGAGAATGTCACAAACCTATGTATACACACATATACTACAAAACAATTTTTTTTGGAAATTATAAAAAACAATCTAAGAATATTTATGAATGAATGCCTGAGAGTAACCAGAAAATATTTTGAAAAAAAAAATCAACAAGAAAAATTTGACCTCCTAGATAACAATAAATGATATAAAATTTTAATGAAATCATTCTGGTAATGACAGCAATATACATACAATAGAAAATGGAAAATAATTAAGAATCCAGAATATATTCAGAAATAGATCCAGGAGATATGTCTTCATTTCTGTTTTTAGATCTAGCTACCTTCCTACTATTTTAGTAGGAGAAGGATGGATTATTTAATAAGTAGATCAAATACAACTGGTTACTGACTTGAAAGGAAATAAAACTAAAACTCTATTATATCATGTACACTGAAATATATAGCTATAAGAAAATTCTCAAACTTAGTTTGGCAAAACTTACTATACAAAGTTAAATGACAAATAAGAGATTTGGGAAAATAATTGTCACACAAAGAGCAGACAGAGCATTGATATCTATAGCATAGCTAGAGCTCTTCCAATTTGCCAAGCAAGAAGTAATCCAATCGAAAAATGGCAAAAAGGGCAAAGAAGGTGAAGAACCAATTAATAGAAGAGTAAATCTAAATGATCAAAATGCCTGTAAAAAGGTGCTACAATTCAGTTGTATTCTGAGAAAGTCAAAGTAAAGTAACAGTGGGCTATGGTTAAACATTTATTCAACTGGTGCTCATAATAGATGTTCAAGATGATAACACCTGTTGATGACAGGGGAATTCACACCGTTGTTGAAAGTCAAGTGTGTTGCAACATTTTTGGAAAGAAATCTGGTAAGATGTATTAAATGTATATGTGATTTAACCCAGAATTCTCATTTTTAGAACTATAACTTACAGAAAAATACTCCTAAGTCTAAAAATAGATGTACAAAAATAGTTGTTGGAGCATTGCTTTGGGTGGCAGAAAACTGGAATACATATCAATACAGGAGTAATTTCCTAAATTGTTAAATATGCACTGTGAAATATTATACAGCATTTAAAAAGAATGAATTTGACCTATGTTTTAGAGTTGAAGGAATTTATATGAGGTGGTATTAAAGTGAAATGAAAGGGTACTATGGAGAGTATAATATGAAAACTTTTTTTAAAAGACAAAAAGTCCTATATGTATTTATGTGTATATATGTGTGTATGTGTTGATTATTTGGACATGCAGAGAAATAAAAATAGTGTATACCAGACTTTAGGTTGACATGAGTTATCTGTAATGGGCTGATTTGCTTGAAGGGGAGGAGAGTGGTAAAGGCAAAGCAAAATGTAAGACTGCTAAAAGAAAATCAAGTATGTAATATCATCACACTTAAGGATTTATGTAAAAGTGTGTGTGTAGGACCTTCTTACCCGTGGGGAATATGTTCCAAAACACCAATGGATGCCTGAAACTGAGTAGAGTACCAAGCCCTATATATACTGTTTTTTGTCTATAATTACATAACTATAATAAAGTTTAATTTATACATCAGGCACGGTAAGAGACTAACAACAATAACCGATGATAAAATAGAAAAATTATAACAATATATTATAATAAGATAAAATAATATATTGTAATATATTGTAAATTATAGCAATATATAATAAAATAAAAATATATAACAATATATTGTAACTAATGATAAAATATAAAATTATAACAATATATTGTAATAAAATAATATATTGCAATATACAATTGTAATAAAACAATATATTGTAATAAAATATATTGTAGCCTATCGCTTTCCCTCTCTCTCATATATTATTGTATCTAATATTTTCAGACTGCAATTGATCGTGGGTAACCAAAACCATGGAAAGTGAAAGCACAGATAAGTACTATATATGCAAATCTAAAAATAATTATTAAACAATTTAGGAAATATCATCAAATGAGCACATAAGTCTTCCTCTTTAAAACTAAAAGGCACTTCTCTATTAATCATCAATATCAGACCAGCATCAGAGATCTCGAATCATTAATATACTGCATAATACATCTTTCCTGAAACAAACTACTATTTGCATTATAGAAAAGTTAGCTGACATTACATGAATGAAGGATACAAAGGACTCAACACCTGAATTCTCCTTTTCCTCTCTTTTTTTTCCTCTACCAGTCACTGCAGTTTCAACTTCAGCATCAAGTCTTTCTCTGTCATAAACAACCAACCCCTGGGGAAGTGTCAATTCTTACTTAACCTCCAAACTCTGTCCCACTGTTGAAGCTCCCTCTTCTCACCTGGACACACAACAAAGGAGAAAAGGACCATGCAAAGAAATACAGTGACATGTTGTTTAAGTTAAACTGTGTATTATGCTTTCCAAAGGAAACATTTTATAAATTGTTTTTATAGGTTTTCTCATACTATTTATGCAAGAGTTCATGTAATACTGAGCATTATAGTAGGACTTTTGAGAACTGCTCTGGGAAAATAACCACCAGCTGTAATCTTGTTTTTAGTGGGAAATATAGTATATTATACACAAAATTCTTATAAATCAACTTTATAAAAACAAGCTGTTTATAATTTGGGAAATATCTTTGTGAAAGAATTTTTAAAATTATGCAGTTCATATGCAAAAGTTGAATATGAAGGTGACCTGATTTTGACTTCGTGGACTTGGCTATTATGGTTGACTAGAATTATTTTCCTTTGATTCTGATTGCTACCATTGAGACCATCCTGAAGCATCTACTAAGCCTAAGTGGCCAGCTTTCCAAGGTAGAGGAAGCTGCTTCTACAGTCAAGGTTTTACTCATAATTGATTATTACAATGGTCACACTGGTTTGTGCAAAAGGTTTTGCTCTGGGTTTTTACTAAATATTTCCAAAGTGAAATAGAAGCTGCACATTATAGGAAAGTGGAAAAGAAACTTTACATCTGTCATATTCCAGTTCATTTAATAATGACAGTATCTATGAAGTAGGTACTTCAAATGAGAAAACAGACTGACAATTTTAGCAGTTTTTCTTCTCTAGAATCAAGTAATCAGAGGAGTTAGAATTTTTTTGTGGATAATGATGTATTTATTTTTAACTTTTATTTAAATATAACATATTACCAAGTCATTTATAAATCACAAGTGTTTATTGCTGCATTTTCACAAAGTAAACATATCCAGTGAAACCAGCCTCCAAATCAAGAAGACAGAAGAACACTACCAGAATATCAGAAGCTACCCCAAGTACATCCTTTCCTGCACTATTCCCTCCCCAAGAGTAACCACTCTCTCGATTTCCAACACTTCCATCATTAGAGTAGTTTACATCACATTAGTTTGGCTGTTTTTGAACTTCTACATATGGAAGGAATCATAGCTCATGTATTCTTTAATGTCTGGCTTATTTTTCAGCATTATGTTTGGGCAATTCATTGGTGTTACATGCAGTTGAGTTTGCTTATTCTTAGCACTGTATAATATCCTACTGTGTGGTCATAGCACAATTTACTTATCCACTCAACCATTAATAGATATTTGGGTAGTTTTCAATTTGTGACTCTTTTGAATAGTACTGCTATGAACATTCTTGTACATATATGTCTTTTAGTACACAAATGTACACATTTATGTACATGTACTATTTTAGGAATTTAATTATGTCATAGGATTCGTGTTAGAAATCTTTAGTCCTTGATGTTCTTTTTAACTTCCTGTTTTTCAAATACATTCTCTCCAGCGGCGTATAGTAATTCTTACAGCACACCCATACTAATGAAAGCAGTTTTTGAAACCAGGTGTCTGATTCCAATGCCCAGGTCTCTTTTCTTTTTCACATATGTTTTATTTAAAGGTAATAACTTGGAAACAATTCTCTTTTATAAATTCTATGATTTTTTCTAAGATTTTCATTCTTTGTTCTTTAAGTAATTTCCCCGTTTTATACTGGAAAACATACTTATGCTGAATAGAATTTAGTAAGGTTAGTAATGTATCAGAAGCCTCAAGTAAATATTTATCTTCATTGAACCCAGCCTCTTCTATTTTTTCTGCATGGGTAAAAAGAATGGCAGTGTAATTCTTCCAAGCATGTCCCAGAAGTTCCTGAAAGATAGAAGAAGTTAAATGACTATTTGTCTTGAACTGCATTTCTTAAAAATGAGCCAAGGGCTATTATAGTCCAGTATAGATAGCTCACAGATCCATGTGTCATTACATTTCTGAAAGCTGATATGTGTAATAGGAAGTGAAGATTGAGTCAAGAATTGTAAGCAAATGGAGGGAGAGGAGTGGGTGTTCTGGAAAATGCTTAGTTCTCTGTTTTATTTTACTGTTATAATTGATATAGACATGGACTCAAATATGCACATATTTACAACATTCGGTAATCATTTATACTTGCCTGACAACTTGACTATGCTAGAATCACCGAATTTCTTCAAGTCAGAAGATTTGGCCAAGGACATTTTTTAATCCTTTTTTTTTTTTGTAGGAATGTTGTGTTATCATCATTACTAAAAGCAGATACTAAGGATTTTAAATTACATAATCTGGTTACAATTTATTGATTAATCAGATGACATGTAATGGAAAAGCTAAGATCAAGATACATTTGGTGATTTGGAACTATAAAATATTATTACTGTGATTCTCATCTTCCTCACTTCACATGCTTAGAATCAAACACAATTTGTCAAATGACTTCCTCTTGTGTGGTTGAAAAGCATTGAAGACGGGTGTTCCTTTGTTTAGTAAGACGTGGAAGTGGGTTATGTAAAAAATTCTTGTTTGATTAGTGAAAATAAGCTGATATAAAGCAGAAGTAACAGCATGTGGCAAATAGTTCACGTAATATGAAAGGCATCTAGAAATACCCCTTTAACTTTTTTTGAATATTTTCAAAGTTAAACCAAATCATGATAGCATGTTTATTTTACTAAATAACATTTCATTCATTCCAAACACTCTCATGACCAAATTATGTATATATTAAGCTGCTACCACTTTATAATATCAAGAAATATGTAAAACGCCTAGAAATAAACATAAGAAATATGAAAGACTGAAAATTAGAAGAAAGAATTTAGACTCTCATTATTATCTCAAATAGAAGGCTTAGGGCTCTATTTATTTGACTTGTGGATTTAGTTTTGAAGTGCAACTAACCTTCAGACTATAATATTGTACTTTCCTAGAATGCTGTTCTTTTTCTCTATACTTCATCATAGGTTTGAACTTTCTATTTTATTTTTAGAGGGACACTCTCAAAGAATAGATCCAAAATTTTGCCTCCTTTCTGTTCGAAATTTATCTAACTACACCATAGAATAATTGCATATTTCTATTTGTCTTTAAAATGCTGCAAGAAAATCTTGAAATTAAGATCTTGAAATCATAAAATTTTGAGAACAGTACATGAAAGAATAATTACTTTAACAGAAAGAATTCTAAACTTTACTAAATAATTTTTCAAAGAAGTACCTTAATTGGCATATTTTTAATCCAACTTTTAAATAACACAACTCTTGTGTAAATCTAAGTATTATGTAATATCAACATCCCATTTTCACTAGTGATGACATAGCAAAATTATCAGACCTCTTAAGAGTTTGTCATATATTCAGTATATTCCAACAGGTCTCTAACAGGTCTCTGGAGGGGGAGGAGTCACAGAGTTGCAAAGTAAATGAGCAGTGATGTTAGGGATTGAACTGTGTTCTCCCCCAAACTCATGTGTTGAAATCCTAACTCCCAGTTCCTCAGCATGTGATCTCATTTGGAAATAGAGTCGTTGCAGATTTAAGTAAAGTAAGGTCATTAGAATGAGTTCCTAATTCAGTATGATTTATGTCCTATAAATTTAGGCAAAGACCTTAATACAGGGAGAACTCCAGGTGAACATGAAGACAGCCATCTACAAGCCAAGGAAAGAGACCTAGAACAGATTCTTCCCTCACAGCCCTCAGAAAGAACCAACCCTACCAACACCTTGATTTGGGACTTCTTTGCTCCAGAACTGAGAGACAACAAATAACTGTTGTTTAAGCCAACCAGTTTGTGATAGGTTACTATGGCAGCCCTAACAAACCAGCATAGATAGTTTAAAAAATTAATACAGTGCTAAATATATTAGATCTGGGATCATTGTATCAGAATTACTTGGGAGGCTTACTAAAAATGCCTCAGACCCTTTAGGACTAGAGGCTGAGGAATGAATTTTACAAAGCACTTCATATAATTTATTTCTTCTGCAAATAGTTATTGAGGCTCTACTTTGCTTTTGGCATATTCTACATTGTAGGGACATAGTATGGAACAAGACAGACACATTTTCTACTTATATCTAATGGAGATTCTTGTGTATTAATTAAGCCTAGTGCTGGAGAAGGGGAACAAAGAGAAAAAAAAAACTTTCAATTTGTTATAATTGCAAGTGTTGTGACAGAAATGAGCATAGAGACGAACATTTAGCCCATTGAGTGTGGGGGTGGAAAGCAGGAATCAGGAAAAGAAGAGGGATCAGGAAAAGTTTCCTGCATGCAGTGATACCTTGAGTTGTTTCTTGAAAAATGCATAAGAATTAATAGGGAATGGATGTAAATAAGCATGAATGGGGATTGCACAGTACTAGGATTTTATACATATGCAAGTATAGCTATTATCCACACTTGATCATCTTATCTATGAAATTTTATCCAATTTAGAACCAGACCTGATAGTTGCCCACTATACCATTGGTCATACTGATTGTCAAATATTGAAATGTTTACATACAAGTTATTAAATATCTATTAGTATTGACTCCTTGAGTGCCACCCCAAACCTACCTCCTGAATATTTGTTGGTTGATGCCTAGACCATACTTGTTATTATATATTTTTTGAAAAATAGTATCATCACAACAAAATTACATGCTAAATACAATTTTTGGCATAAACAATCCTTTCCTGAGTTATATATCATAACATAGACTTCTCTTGCTTGGTTAACACTTATTGAAGTAAATGGTTTAACTTTCACAATATTCCTTAGGTTCCTGGTTTTCTGCATTGTAACATTAACACATTCCTTTTTTGTTTCCACCAGACATTTCCTATGCTGTATACCATAATCTCATTCAGAGAAAATGAATTAAAGCTCCAATGGATAATAGATTTGTAAGCTCCACACCACTTACAAGTCCGTGTGTTCAGCCACTGGGAAGTTTTTGCATGTTTATAATTATTTATGTAAGGATGCTCATATCCTAAACTATAAGAGAAATTGCACTTTTGAATTACTGCCAAAAACAGAGGAGAGAGGTTGATTTAGCTTATAATCTTCAGATTGATTTTTTGGCCAGAAAATTGTTGAATATTTGAAAGTAGTGTCACTTGGTATATAGTCATCATGTTAGTGGCCAAACATGTTCTCTATGGGCTCAGGGAAAAATAATCACAATTGATTGATACCTCACATAAAAATCCAAGAGCAAGATAAGTTCATGTTAAGTTATCTGGTGTTAATAATTTAAATATAGGACTGAGCTAGATGGAAGTTTTACAATCAATCATGAATTGTTTGGTTTCAGAGTGCTAATGGGTATGAGTCCATGTAGTCCTTTTGGGACAACTAGTTAGGGATATAAACTTTGTTTTCCAGGAATTATGTTCATTTTCCCAGGACCTCACCAGTCCTGCCCCATTTGTTTGTGGTTGATGAAATCATAGCATCTGGACATTTTAGGGGGAAACTTTTTTAAAAAGCCAACTATTACATCAACTGAGAAAAAAATTATCATGAAACAGGAGGACAATAGAATCATTTTTAAATATTTTATGTTGTTTGCTTATTCTCTTCCCACTTTAAATTACTACACTTCCTTTTCAGAGAGCCAAAGCTGAATGATAAGACTCATTAAATCAGACTCAGAGATTATTCAACAGAGATCATCTGTATAAACTGCTTCATTTTACAGATGAGGGCATTGAGGCCTTGTTAAAGCAGCTTGGCCAAAGCCATGTAGCTAATTGTTGACAGTCCTGGTCCTGTAACAAAGACCATCTCTTGTCTGTCAGGCCCAATTCTTCCCACTGAATGGGGTTTCTCAGTTTAATCTTTCTAAGCCAGTGAATTTTTTTTCCTAGACTTTTTTTCTCTAAATTAATTAAGTTACTTATAAATCAGAGTCATGTAAATTTGATTTCACTCTTTCATCTGAAACCTATCAAGATAAACCCAAATAATATGGTTTCTACAAATAATACATCCTAATTTTAAGATAAGACAAATACTAACAATAAAATAATAATGATCAGAGCTAACACTTATTGTGCACTTGCCACATGTCAGTGTCTGAGTTATCACATTTACTGTGAATACGATTTTAATCCCAAAAGTTACCCAATGAAGTAGACACTATTCTCTTTCTCAACTTACCAGTAAAGTTTAGAAAAGTTACTTGTCCAAGATCACAAAGTAAATTAGTAGCCTAGTAGAAACTTGAACACTCCAGAACCCATGTTCTTAACCTGTATAATATGTCATCCATATCCAGTAGTTCATTTGAATGAGTACTCATCACAATCTGGGTAACTATCATAACAATAACAACAACAACAATAATAATAGTTTGCCATTTTTTTTCTGTCAACCTGCTGTAAGTAGGCACGATGTCATTCGTGTTGCATTTATTAAATCTAACACTCATAACTCTTTAATATGAGTAAAATTATTTCCATTTTACAAGCAAAAAACTGACATCAAGAAAGTCTTAGTTACATCTATAGTCATGTACCTAGAACATAGGCTAGTTTTTTTGTTTGTTTGTTTGTTTGTTTTCATCTAAATTCTATATAACAACCAAGAATATGATCTTTGTTTAGTATTTCCGAGTCCTGAATTGGCCTCTCTGAGTCTTTCATACACACATTCATCTGTAACATCAACAGCTGAGTTGTTGATTGTGAACAAAAGTATACACGTGAACCCTGCTTGTACACAGTACTAATATATAATACTATAATAGCAGAAATAATATGAACTTCAGTCAACTCCTGGCTTCAACTGCTAGTGCAGCTTGGCTGCACACTACCTCTTTCCTTGAGGTGACTTTATTATTTCTTCTCTGATTCATTATTTGTGGATTTTTAAATGACATCCCAGGTAACATTCAGATGAATCTTTTGTTTTTTGATTTTGTGGCGATGACTCACTGACATCTTCATTTTTCTGTAAATTAATAAATGTCTAACAGAAATAACATAAAAGGGATCATTTGAGGGAAATGTTTCAATTGTCACAACTAGTAGCCTATGACCCCTCTGCAAAATATTAGATTACAAGCAGGAAGAGATATTTAAAGAGACAATGGGGAGGCACAGGAAGGAAAGGCCACTTCTCTGGTTCTGGGTTTACCGACTCCTTCCCTGGCAGGCGTCAGTGCTCCTGCAAAGTGGGATAGAGAAAAGGAGTAGACAGACATTCCATTTTACATCAGCCAGGAAGAACAAGAAATCCAGACAATGCCTGAAACTCGAGGATCTAACAGCTTCTTGCTCTTTCCTAACAGCTGCTGGTCCCATTGAATGTTAAGACATCCTGCATCTGCTCCCAATCTGTGAGCACATACAGATGGCTGCCACCAGTATCCCAGGCACCTTTGGGAAGAAGGCCATGAACAGACAGCTTGTGCTTAGGTGACCATCAAGCAAAGACATGGCAGAACCCCAGAATCGTTCTGCAGTGCCTCCCGGGGGTCATGGGCCACTCTGAGGATTACTCAATCTTAGCTGCTGAGTTTTCTTGGGAGACAAAAGTTATTTATTCTGGGAAAAAATATTCTGGATCTGAGCTTCACCATAGCCCATCTCCTATCTTCTTTCAACTCCTGAATTGGACACTGATTTAGTTAGAGAAGGCAGCTGTAATAGAAGAAGGCTATGTGCCAAATACTGTTTTAAAGAGACCAGAGACATGTATGAATCTAACTCTCTTGTATTAAAAAAAAAAAAAAAGGATTGCAATATCGCTCTGTATGCTAAATTGTTCTGGATCCTAAAACCAGAAAAATCTATTTTCAAAATGTATGTCATTTAAAATATCCTTTTGGGCTTATCTTGGGTTCATCATAGAGAAAAACATTGGGACATAAGGAGAGAGTCGGGGTACCATTTGAGAAATAGTTGTTTATGCATTTGCTGAATTTACTGAATTACATCCATTTATAGCCTAAGCTGAATATTTATTTAATAATATCTTTAAATAAAAATTTTTTTAGCTGTCTAAAAATTAGACTGATGTTATGGATGCAGTTTTCTCAACTCTTGATTTCTGTCCGAAACATTGTTTGAAATGCAGGCTTTAATAGTTTGGGGGAGATTTGTGGCTTTCTTAGATTCCATATTGTTTCTTAATTGCAATCATCTTTTTTCTTCTTTACTTTTATACAGCACTTCCTTTATTTTTCAAGAGTTGGATGATGAGGATTATTTTTTATGTTCTTGTCACCTGATTTTTTCCGCTAGTTTCTTGTGATTACACAGATGGTTTCTCCACCTGCCCCCCCTTTTTAGAAACATGGACAATTACTGAAAAACAAAACACGTGCCTGTAATTTAGAACAATTTTATGTTTTTCCAGTTGGAGGAAAATAACCTGTCATTGAAGCAAATAATACTACCTTTCTGAGCATGACTATCTATATCAGTATAGTCTGAGATTGGACCAAAAGAAGAGGAGCATTTATACAAATTGTTCTTGAATAGAAAATGTCTGTTCTCTATGCTTCATATGGCTTATCTGTAGAGATTCCAGTAGATATGGCTTCTCTGAGCTCAGTGACTCAGTGAGCCTTGTGGGTAATACTAATGAAGTCCAGCAGTTAAATTTAGGTGGACTCAGACTAAAGAATCAAGAGATTGAATAGAATGGAGCTGCTCAATGAAGAGTTTCCAGGAATTACTGGTCATGGCCCATGTGGGGCTTGCTGACACACACACACACACACACACACACACACACACACACACACACCCTCCATCTCCTAGGGGCAGCCATATCCAGGTCTCTTACTCAGCTCCTCCTCTAGACTGGCTGAATGAGCTTCTACCTTAGTGACCTGCAATGAATGAACAAACAAACAGGGATGAACCACTAGGGAAAGGTGACAATTATTATTTGTGTTCCAACTGAGTTCCCTGTTGTCTTCTTATGGCTGAAATGGAGCAAGCATCTGAAATTCTTTATTTCCTTCCGATGAATAATGAATAGCTCTCCCTTGAAAGTTTACCATGACTTAAGCCATATAAAGCCCCCTCTTAAATATACTACTTTGGCACTTAATGCTTTGTCTTATTCTGGCTTATCTATTTGTCTTTTCTAGCCGGTAAACTTTTTGAAGTCAGGGCTCATGTCTCATTTACCTATCATTAAGCACTATCCAGGTGCCCAATAGAGTGTTCAACCACCAAAATCAGTGAATGAACACCCATTTGTTGGTGAACTATAAGAAATTGTCCCTTTGACTTGAATGGATACAACTCAGTATTTTAGTTCAGTTTTTCTGAACCCTGAAATATAAATAAAGCAATATTTGGAAAGCTATGAATATGCAGATATGTAGTCTCTACTTTTGAGTTCCTGTTTCAGCAGGTTTTGAAGAAATCTTCATTTTAAATGAAGAGCCCAGTTGGTTCAAATGCAAATAGTCCAGGAACCATAATTTATAAACATGTTTGGATCTTAACTTCTTAGGTATTTAAGGCTTAGTTAACCTCTGAAGTTTAGCATCTCAGTTTTTTTTTTGTATGACCCAGTGGTAAAATGACTGATTGAATGCCTCTAAAGGAAATTGTAAAAACAACTCTTTGGAAAATCAAATAATTTTTAATGACTGTTCCAAGATGACCAACACTTCGTGGTTTAAACTATTCTTTTAACCAGTTTTGAAAATAATGTCATTGTATTACCTGGATAATCTGGACTGGGTAAGTTGCTTCCTGCCCACAGAAAGGCACATCTGCTCTCTGAACCAGCAGAGCAAGGTGGAGACCCTCTTGCCCAAAGTGATGTGCCAGAGCCTCCCTGATCTCCTGCTCCACATGCTTCTTCCTCAGCCTGCTGTGTGGATAGCCTGGAGTGTCTAATACCCGGACCTGCAGAAGTACCTCTTGCCCAGCTCGACGCATGAAGCTGTTGTAACAACTGCGGCCCAGGCTACAGTCTTCGGTCACAGAACATGGAGCAAAGCTACTGTGGAAGTCAGTGCTTCCCAGAAGAATGTTCCCTGCAGAACTTTTTCCACTCTGAGTCATGCCAAAGAGGGCCAAGTTGATGACCATCCTGTTGGGGTCTGTCATGGCTGTGGGTAAACAAAGGCAAAGCATAAGTAATTAGGATTCTACATTTCTCCAATATGAGACGTTTTAACTTTCCTGGAGTACTCCAGGTACTATCTTTAATTTACTATCCCTACATTCATAGTGACTGAAGCATGGAGTGACTAAAGTGGAGACACCCTGGTGGGACATGAGAGATAAGTCAGACACAGATAAGAAAGGGAGGAGGAAACAAATGAGGGAAAAACAATCACATGAAGATCCTATAAACCATGTTTAGGAAGATTATGCTAACTCATCAGTGTGGCAGGTGAGTTGGTTGAGCAAAGGGTATTGAGATTCCTTAGCTCGGGGACAAAACTAGCAGCAGTAGTTGAAAAATATTCACCATTAGAGAAGAACAGGATAGTGAAAAAAAATAGTCTGTCTTTCATTTTTAATGACATCCCCCACCTTCCCACTTCCCCACCCCCTGAATACACAAGTGGCATCTGCAAAAAAAATCATCTTTCTTGACTTCCTGGGTGCCTCTTTCCTTTGAAATATGAATAATGCTAGAGAAGACTTGTGTTTTTGTTTACAAAATATTATTTACAGTCAGGCAACATTCTGATGAAAATAAAAAACTACTTGTGATTCCTTTCTTTTTTTTTGAGACAGGTTCTCACTTTGTCACCCAGGTTGGAGTGTAGTGGCACAATCACGGCTCACCACAGCCTCGACCTTCTGGTCCCAGGCCACCCTTCCAACTCAGCTGGTACTATAGGCACACATCACCATGCCCAGCTAATTTTTTCTTTTAATTTTTTAGAGACGAGGTCTCAGTATGTTGCCTAGACTGGTCTCAATCTTCTGAGCTCAAGCAATCCTCTTGCCTCAGCCTCCCTGTAATTTCTATTATTAAATAATTAATAAATCATCTCCACGGTCCACTTTGTAAAATATTGGCTTTTAAATAGAGAAAGTAAAGCCTATCACATTGTACAGTTCAGTTATGAGGGAGGAGAATCTCAGAAGAGTCTGTTTCGTTAACACTACCTGTAAAGTATAGTTAATCTTTTGTACAAAGCATAAACCTCTTATAGCATTTTAAGGTCATCAGTCATTTTCACTAGATGATAAACAGAGCACTGGCTAATTGCCAAATGTGCTCAAACTGCTGGTTCAGAAAAAAAGAGATTTTAATATTGCATATTTATTATTTTTGCTTATACTTTGTAACTCTATTATCCTCTTTAAGTACCTCAGAATGTTCTTGTCCCCTAAGTCCCCTTACCCCACTATCCCCAGACCCTCAAGTGAACACCCTGAAGAAATTTCATACCAACATAAAAAAGATACTCATTATGGAGATCTTTCAAGTTTACACCAGCTCACTCAGATCATTCGGTTGGGGTCTGTCATGGCTAAGATGCAGTTAATTTCTTTTTACTCCCAAATCAAATGTGTAATTTATTTTAAAAATTAATTATGTAATCCCAATCCATTTGCTGTTTTCCACTTACCTTTTCCAGCCTTGAAAATGCTTTCTCACAAAGACTTCTCCCAAGCTGGTACAGTTGTTCTTTGGTATGAACTTTAAACTTCTGATAGTATTATTGTACCATTCTGGGACTGACACTGTATGTATTTTATTTAGTTAATGTATTACCAGACATCCTCTTCATAAATGATTAGTTGTCTTACTCTAATCAGCACTGACTTTTTTATGTCACTTGACAAACTTGTGATTTTAATAGTTTCTTCCTGAAACTTCTATATTCAGGATTAAATTATTTTATGTAGTATGTTTCTAATAGGTAACATTTTATTGATAGCATGAAGAAATGAAAGATTGGTAGGTATTGAACAGAAACTAGATATTCTATAACAATTTTTCCATTTTAATTGATGAAAGCCATATTACTACTTCATAAAAAGTTTCAATAAATAGGTATGTAATTTATGTACAATAATAAGACAATGACTTCACATCAGCATTTAGTTCATAAATACCATTCATAATTTTCTGAGAAAACTATTTTGGCTATGCCCATATAATTTAAACTTGTTATCTTATCATAATTGATGAAATCACTAACCTGATTATATCAGCTCATGTAATTTTTATATCAATTGATGATAGCATATTTAAGAAAAGGAATAAAATTAAGTATAACTTGAAGACACATAAGTTTTTTTCTTAAAAACTTAAGTTTTGTCATTGAAAGCTCAAATTTTATTTTTCCACTTCTTAGTATATAACTCACACTTCCCATAATTATTTTCTTAGCGTATTAAGATACAGAAGCCTTAGCATGGCTATATTCTAGTTCATCTTCTCTTGCATCTTTCAAGGTCTCTGAAGTATGTGTTTCTGGGTGAAGGGAACTTGAAGACATCTGGAAGTTGCCTTGCAACTTCATGGGCAGAGAGTTAAAGTCTTCTTCCTGTGTGGCTATGACAAAGAAAAATGAACTGTGCTTGTCAGAAAAACAAACTGACTTAATTCATCTGATAAGCACACTGACTTTCTTGAATGAAGCAGAAAGAACCTCCCCCAGGTGGCAGTAGTAGCCTGTTTCCTACGGAGTAATTTTGAACCAGAATTAATTTTAATTTTATTTTTCAAACTGCAAATGGACATTCTTCGACAATCTACATTAACACATATCAAATATGTGGAGTATTTTTTGAAGAAGGGCAAAGCCAAACCTTCTTCCTTGTATTCCATATAGAACACAGCAAGCATAAGTTCTTAGTTTTTCAAACCCTCTACTTTGAAGTCATAGTTTAAATTATTGGCTGAATGCAACAGTTTACTTTAACAAATAAAGTTCAGAGTTCATAGCATGATTATAAGTTCCTATAAGACTGCAATTTTTTTAGATAATCTTTCATAGGTCTAATGGAGGTTTTAGATTTGAATCAGCTTGAAGTTTTTTTATATTTTTTAAATTTTAGAGTTGTGGGGCACAAGTGGGGATTTACCACATAAGCAATTTGCATGCAGGTGAAATTTGGGCTTCTAACTGATCCCCTCTCCCCCTAATAGTGAACCAGGTTCCCAGTGTGTTGCCACATGGCCCCTCCCTCCCCTAGCAGTGTCCATCATCTGCCGATCCCACCCTTGTGCTAGTGTGACCAGTGTTTTGGGCCCACTTATATGAACATGTGGTATTCAGTTTTTTGTCTCTGTGATAGTTTGCTTTGGTATGCCAGCTGCATCCACAACTTAGAGGTCTTATAGAAGGGCAATTTATAAATATTAGATGATGTTGAGAGAGTGATTGTTAATTCTTTTTTTGAATCAGGCTAAAAGAACAATTTGAAAAATGTCCTTTTCCCTGGGTTGGTCAAATATAATAGAACAAGGAAAAAATGTATTATCCTTTAACAACTGGCTTCAGAATTCCTCTTAGGAAGAAAACTCTCTTTGAGAAAATAGTTCGATTAGCTACTCGAGGTAGAGAAAGGGATCCTGAGAACATGAGTTAAACTCACAAAAAAATAGTGTAAAGCCAATCTACTGATGATGGAGGAAGAGCCAAGAAAAAAGTCGGGTAGATAAAAAGGATACAAAAGGAAGGAGAGAGAGAGAGGTAGAAAAGAAAGAAGGAAGAAAAGGAAGAAGAGAGAGAAAGATGCAGGGAATAAGGGAGGGGTGGGAAAGAAGATATGAAGAATTAGCACATTACAGCATGACAGGAAGCTAGATCTCTCAGTTTTACAATTGGAAAGGGCTAAGGGACTATTTTAAAGAAGTGGCTAATGTTCAGTTTTAAGTTCTTTGCATTTCTGAAATGTAAAGTCAGCCATATTCACAGTTTTCTTAGGTGAAGGTGGCTTTTAATTTTTGTTTTGCTTTTGGCTGTTGTTTTGTATTTTACTTTGTTTTATTTTTGGTAGAAATTAATGGAAAGGTATGAGGTCTACCCCATTAGTGTAGGACAGGGACTTCACGAGTTGGAAATTGTGGAATAATATCTGAATGGAAGTAATTCAGAAGAGGCAAGAAATTGAAGACAGAGGGACACTAGTTTCCAAGAACTTGCAGGAATCGTTGGGAGGATATTTAGACTTTCTACTGTTCATAAGATGAAATATTTCACGGTCAGGGTGCTCTAGCTGACAACTATAAACATAAGTAGCTATTATGTTTTAAATTTTATATACAAACACACACATGCATGTTCATAGTCACAAGAATATATATTTCCAAGTGTGTGTGTATATAATTTATAATTTCTATTTATATTCAGTAAAGTGTGTCTCCATAATCAAATTAGTTTTATTATTGGTAGTTCTTATGGCAATTTGATTACAAAGTACTCTCATAGTTTTAGACAAATTCCAATTTTCATTGGCTTGAACTGTAAACCCCTTGCTCTGATAATGTTTCTTTCCATAGAAGGTCTTCAGAGTATTGACTAGTTTTTGTATTTATGATGACCAAATGGATTTAACCTTAGCCAACATTGCACCAAGTTGAGGGGAACACTGACAAGATTATTGAGGTTGATGGTGACTTGATTACCTCAGCCTGAGCTGATTTTAGAAGAAATTTTAGGACACTAGTCAGCAGTTTAAATCTGGTGGCCAGATGGTCTTAATTTAAATGCAGTTTCAAGGTTCTTTGAGCAATGAAGAATGGCCATGTCTGTACAGATATATTTATGGGAATAGAAGTCTTCACTCCAAACTTTGTTGGTTCATATATTAAAGACTCTACCAGTCACATCCCCATGCAGAAATATTTATGATGTTTTTGTTTGGTTTTGTTGTTGTTGTTTGTTTGCTTGCTTGTTTTTTTTCTTTTCTGAGTATTTTTGCATATATATATGTATATATATATATACAGATTATAAATATGATATGTGTCTTTCAAAGCATTTAAAAATACAGAAAGGAAAATAGGACCACTTTTAAACCTTTATTTCCTGGGGACCATGGGGCAGTGTTTCCTCTTGTGAACTGACACAGTAGGTGAGTTTCCCTTTTCAAACTACCCATGTCCTCCTATTTACTTCTCTTCTCTAACA